TGAAACCAGACCTATACTTTTCCTTCACGAAAGCTTGGCACCCCCGTTAATTTGTGTTCATTTCCCATAATTTAGCAATCAAAGCATTTAAGAGAAAAGATGGAATACAAAGTATTTGTATGACTGGCTATAATCTAGCATATTCCTCCATTATAAATTATTCATAAAGGCCAATATATACCTTCTTTATTGTTATCATCAAGATTAAAATTATCATTAAGAATGAAAATTCTTATTCTTAATATTAAAATTGAAAATTTCTCAGTAATCTGCATGACTGTCATCTACCAACAAACTTATCAGCTGGCAACTAAAAACAAAACGAAAGCCGTTAAAACTGAATTATAGGCAGCACATAAATAGTCTGACGCCTTTAGACTGGTCAAAATAAACTCCTCTGCTGCAGTTTTAATTCTGCTTTAAACAAGGTACCACAGTCATTACTACAAAAAGCACAGGCTTACCTGTGCGGTAGACAAAGTTGCCTTCCGTTTCTGATGACGATGGAGACACCAGTTCTTCCTCAAATTCATTGGAGCTAAAAGATCCCGAATGGTTTCTTTGCCTGGTTTTCCCCATCATGGCAGTGTTTGTGGCCATGACATGTCTCAAAGAGTCGTTAAGGTAACGGTTCAACAAGCTGCTCTTGTATTTGGGGGGTGACACGTAGTCCTCACTGGCCTGTGACTCTGGCCTCACTCCAGCTTTTATGACTGAGCTCTCGCTTTTAATCACAGGATGGTGAACTGGAGTATTGTAGCTTCCTTCGTTCATGTGGTTTCTTGGAGGGTTTTCTCCATCTAAGGGGGAAAAACAGCACTAAGTAGTATTTATGCATATTTTTTCCCAACCGCCCAACTGTTACATTTAATAATAAAAATACACATAAAGGAAGAATATTTAGAGTGTATAAAATTATACAGTATGCAATTATATATTTAAGATTAATTTTTGGCAAAAGAAAGCAGGAATTTATGTAATTTCTTGCTTATGGTATTTTAATTTTAATGAATTTCATTGAAAATATTATTTTGAGACATGATAAATCTATAAATGAGAGGAAACAGCCATGATTCTGTTGGTCATTTATAGCATTGTAAACATTGAAGTTACCTCATGCAATAAAAAAGAACCATTATGGCACCATCGTATTTTGTGGGACCAACCTTAAAATAGCAATTGAGGTAAACCTACTGCAGAGGCAAAGCAAAGAAAACAAAATGAAAATATTAACAAACCTTCAGAACACGAATCGTCACTGCTTACACTGAGCCGCTCAGCGTTTCCTTGAACATATTTGTTGTATAACTTTATTCTTAAAGCCCAGCTTAAATCTGGCTGTCGAACAGTATTCTTAAGCCGACGTCTTGCATTAGCAAACCAATTTGACACCTAAAACGGTATTATTTTTCAATTAGCAAAACATTAAAAAACATTACCCGTTGTGCAATTACTTTCTCATAAAGGATCTCAGCCTTTCTCAACTCTGATCACTAAATATTCTCAGGATGTATGAGTACGGCACATTCGTATCCATTCATCTATTCTACAAACATGCTCAGCA